TTTTTATTGGCTTATGTTCATGCGATTTTTTTTGCCAAGATTGCATGAATTGTCAAAATCCGTCACGCTGTTCTTGGGTTATTACTTTCTTTTATATTGTGAAAATAATTCTTTATTTTGTATTCTCTTCTGAAATGAGAATAGAAATGAAATAGAGAGTTATATTTCGCTACATTATTATAGTATTTCCTTTGTAATTCTACCATGCTCGGTTCTTTGCTCTATATAAATATTATAATTTGCAAAGTTTGGACTAAAACGGATAATTCCTTCGAGAGTTATTGTGAGAACCAGTCAAATAGACAGGATAACCAGGATAGACAGGGTAAAGATCGACACCAAATATCCTGAAACGGATTTCAGCCAAAGGGTTTTAGCCGGGAACATGAAACGTACCTTATGTAGCCATAAATAAGATTGTAATGTTACCAAAATGCTTCAATTATAATAAAATAATTAATGGTATATCCAAAACAAGTAAGCAAAGGTTATAGTCGTGCGGGGCCGACTATGTTATACCCTACAACACAATAATTTGTTGGAAGCCCCCTTATGTCCAAATCCATATTGGAAGATTTCGCTTTTGAAATTAGGATTTTGACTAGGGACATTTGCCCAACATTTATACACTCCGTCGGGCTGTTAGTTGTTGTAGTCCATTTTACAGCTAAATATAATCCAATTGTCATCCAAAATGCTAGAATTCTTCGCTGTCCTTAACTCTCTTCGGATCGGAAAAACATTTCTGTTTTTGGTTAATTTGAACCCCTAAATATTTTGCAATCATCTCCAAGAGCAAAAAGCCCCTCTGTATCACCAAATTTAGACTCATCTATATGATTTGCTTGTCTACGATATTTGGCTATATTCGTCAACGAAATCAGCATAAAAAAGCCAGAAGTTCGCTTTTTGTGTATTTCGGATATCGCCTGTAAGTAATACTGATATTTTTTTCCTAAACTCTAACTTTATGCGAGATTTCGTGTCCTTTGGTTTCTATTTGTGATCTTTATAACGGCTGCAAAATCTGGAACATTTTTAGTTTTTGGTCCATTTCAACCCTCTAATATATTGCGGACATCTTTGAAAACAATAGACCAAGCCCTTCTGAGCCCAACCCTACCCTTGTGAAAATTTTCATGAGGATCGGACGATATTTGCAATACTTATATAATATCCCCAACCTGTGTTGTAAGGTGAAAAAATATTACAAAATATTATAAGTCAAGCTGAAAAAATCGCATGCGATAAAAAATATGAAAAAATAAAAAATGTCACAAAATACTACAAAATCTATATTAACATCATTATTGGCATATTTTTGCGATTTTATACTTTTATGTCAAGAGGGCATTCTGAATTGACAAAATTTGTCAAAATCGGTCCAGCCATTCTTGAGATATAAGCATTCTAACTAACATCCCCTTCCTTTGTATATACACATTGTATATATTTCGCTATATATAACTGATATATTTACTATCGGCATCTACGTGACGGTCAGAATGGACCTGTTCGTCTATTTGTGATTTCGCCGGGATTAAAAATATTCGCGGTTTAATGGAAAATTTGACTTTTATTTAACACAAATGTTGTGGCCTATTTCACCCATTATTATTCACTCGATGACCATCAAAATTGGAAGGCTTCTGCCCAGTCCTAAGCTCTAGCCCCATGCTGACTTTCGCTTTGATTGGTCTATAATTGCGACCTGTAGGTCAACTGCAAAATCAGGAATTTTTTCAGTTTTTGGTCCATTTCAACCCCCAAATATTATGCGATCATCTCCAAAAGAAATAGGGTTCTTTTCTGACCCTAGCACCACCTCCACTCTAAATTTCGTGAAGATCGGGCCATAATTGCGACCTGTAGAATGATTACAAATTAACATGGACAGACGGACGGACGGACATACATAGCTAGATCGACTCAGCTCGGCAAGATAGGAAGATCTATATATACTTTCCTATGTGGGAATCCAATATTTCGTGGTGTTACATAATTTTTGGCCCAATCAAACTTATAATACCCCCAACACATAGTGTTGTAGGGTATAAAAACTACTAAAGATCTCAAAATATAATGGCAGTTCTCAAATACCAACATTTCAAACAATCAGAAGGAATAAAACATTTTTAAAATTCGGCCGAACAATGACTACTTAGTTTTTGCTAAAATCTATCCCATTGTTCCCATTTATTACTCCCCACATCCCCAAAGGCAGATATAGTTCAACTTACGCACTGCAAAAGCTGATGCTCATCGGCAGCGATGTAGAACGGCTACTGTTATAGTCTGGCACCATGATTGCAAAGACTAGATAAGAACAACGACAGAAAAAAAAAATTGTCGCAAATTTGTAACAATCTTCATTGCAGACAACATGAAAGAGGACAACCTGCGTAGCCGCTTAACCGTGCCGATGAGTAGTGTGCGTTAACACATTTCGTGTTATAGATTTTATGAATATCTCATAAGAAATTCATGCGGTGTGTCTACCCAAAGACCCACTGAGCCATCAATTTATGACGACGATGATGATGGCGATCGTTGAAGTTGGTTTTTTGTTTTTATTTATTACTCATATTTTGATTTTGTTATTGCCAACAACAGAGATGTCATATTTAGCTTAAATTATGGGTTTTGGTGTGTGCCGTTTAGCCACCGGCAATGGCGTTGGGAAAATCAACTCTAATGTTGACAGCGAAAAATTATGTCGCACAAAAGTGTTAATAACTCAATTTCACTTGATGATACGAGTTTGTGTCACACATTATTAATGAAGACATATTTTTTGGAATGGATAAAGGAAAAAACTACTGAATTAAAATGTTATGAATTAAATGAAGTATTTTACACTACTTGAAAGATTACGAACGATTTAGACAAATTCGGAATTGTCTCTTGGCAGAAAAGGATAAAATCAAATAATTGCGAAAAAAATGTGAAAATGAACATTTTCATTCTGATTTTTGAGATGTACAATTTTAATTTTTATTGTATGATTTTTTTTATACCATATAACACTATGTGCTGGGGGTTTATAAGTTTGATTGGGCCAAAAATTATGTAACACCTCGAAATATTGGTTTCACACATAGGAAAGTATATATGGATCTTCCTATCTCGCCGAGCTGCGTCGATCTAGCTATGTATGTCCGTCCGTCCGTCTGTCCATGTTAATTTTTTCTACAGGTTGCAATTATGGTCTGATCTTCACGAAATTTAGAATGGAGGTGGGGCTAGGGTCAGAATGGAACCCTATTTCTTTTGGAGATGATCGCATTATATTTAGGTTTTGAAATGGACCAAAAATTGTAAAATTACTGATTTTGCAATTACTCTACAGGTCGCAATTATAAACCAATCAAAGTGGAAGTTAGCATGGGGCTAGAGCTTAGGGCTGGGCAGAAGCCTTCCAATATTGATGGTCATCGGGTAATATTTAGTGGGTGAAATAGGCTACAACATATGTCTTTTATTTAACACAAATTTTCCATTAAACCGCGAATATTTTTAATCCTGGCGAAATCACAAATAGACGAACAGGTCAATTCTGACCGTTATCTACGTAACGGCCGATAGTAAATATATCGGATATATATAGCGAAATATATACAATGTGTATTGACAAAGGAAGGGGATGTTAGTTAGAATGCTTATATCTCAAAAATGGCTGGACCGATTTTGACAAATTTTGTCAATTCAGAATGCCCTCTTGACATAAAAGTATAAAATCTAAAAAAATAGATATGCCAATGATGATGTTAATATAGATTTTGTAGTCATTTGTGACATTCTTTTATTTTTTTCATATTTTTTATCGCATGCAATTTTTTCAATATGACTTATAATATTTTTTAATATTTTTTCACCTTACAACACAGGTTGGATTTATTATATAAGGATGGCAAATATCGTCCGAACCTCACGAAAAATTTCACAAGGGTAGGGTTGGACTCAGAAGGGTTAGGCCTATTGTTTTCAAAGATGTCCGCAATACATTAAGGTTGAAATGAACCAACAACTAAAAATGTTCCTGATTTTACAGCCGTTATAAAGGTCACAAATAGAAACCAAAGGACACGAAATCTCGCATGAAGTTAGAGTTTAGGACAGCGGGTACAATGAACCACTAATTTTGTGTGAAAAAATACCAGTATTACTTACAGGCGATATCCGAAATACACAAAAGGCGAACTTCTGGCTTTTTTATGCTGATTTCGTTGACGAATATAGCCAAATATCGTAGACAAGCAAATCATATAGATGAGTTTAAATTTGGAGATACAGAGGGGCCTCTTACTTTTGGAGATGATCGCAAAATATTTAGGGGTTCAAATGAACCAAAAACAGAATAAATTCCTGATCACACAATTGAAGACAATCGACACGCCTGAGAAGAGATTTAAGGACAGCGAAGAATTCTAAAATTTTTGACGACCATTGGATTATATTTAGCTTTAAAGTAGACCACACAACTATAAGCACGACGGAGTGCGTAAATACTGGGAAAATGTCCCTGGTGACATAATTTCAAAAGCGAAATCTTCCAATATGGAGTTGGGCATAAGGGGGCTTCTAACATATTGCAGTGTTGTAGGGTATAACATAGTCGGCGCCGCACGACTATAGCCTTTGCTTACTTGTTTTTTTTTTTTTTTTTTGAAAATTGGTAAATTCGTTCCTAATGGTGGAGGGTATTCAAAGTTCTTACAGTTTTTTACTGTTTATTCATAGAACGCCCCATCACCTGCCATTTTAAGACTTTATTTTTTAAAATGAAACACACATCAAATTTTATTATATAAAAAAGTTGGGTTTTTATTTATTACTTAATCAGTACATTGCGTATAAAAAAGAGTTGTTTTCTTTCTTTATTATATAGTTTACTCGTATAAAATTAATTTTACCGGATCGTATAAAATATATATATATTTTTATATAGTTAAATAAATTATTTTACTACGTTTAACTTTTACGATTTGATTATTACAAAAAGAAAATGCCCTTTCAAAGGTGTTCCTTTTTTAATTCGTTTTTCTTTAAGCTTAACTACGAGAAAATGTCAGTGAAGAAAAGCACCTTGATTTTACTCTTTATATAGCTACCGCCGGCGTTCATAGGAGAAAAAAGGATAGAAATACAGAAAAGAGTATTTGTTCTTACTACAATTGCTACATTATTACACTAAGGAATTCCAAAGAAAATAAATAGTTATTTTTAGACACACATTAAAAATACATTATTATTATTAGGTAGGAAGGAGCGAAAGTAATGGGTAAATTTTGTGAAATATTTTGATACAAAATTATTTCAAAATTTGCCCCAAAATTACTTTTGTTTGCATAGAGAGGGTGGCCACAAGGATTGAAAAATTTAGAGAATTAAAAAAAAATAAATAATAGTAATAAATTAAATAGAGATAGTGAGTATGTAAAGCTAAGTTGTTGGAGAGAACAAAAAAACCTAAACTAATTTTTTATATAATACCTGCGTTATTCTTTTATAAATTTTCTTTTTTCGTTTCGAAAACACAATGCCAGGTTTTAAAAAGCAATTCCGGCGAGGGGGCTTAGGGAAAATAAATTCTAAGTATTCGGTCAATGTTCGTTGTTGTTGTTTGGATATTTTTCCATGACCCCTTAGGGATCGCTTTTAAAAGCCGGCATTGTCATAGGCAAATGAAAGTATTAGTTTTTATCGCTTCTTCTACTTTTTGTTTTTGTCTCGAATTCTAAATTATTTCCTATTATTTACTAGATGCATTACATAGATTTTTTTTCTTTTTTGCTTTTGTTTTTTTCTGTTTTCTTCTAAAACTATGTTGCGTATAAAAAATAATAATTATTATCATATAAATATTAGTAGAAAAAGTCTCTTAATTAAATTCATTTCAATTTTTTGCTTGTTTTCATGAAAATTTCTTGCTTTTCTTTTTTTTTTTTTTGTTTCCTAAAGTCTAAAAGTTCGTTTTTGTTTTGTTGAAAATGGGTTGCCTATTTTGCCAAATTTAGTTTTTTTTTCTCCTTTTCAATATTGTTGACCATAACGTCCACTTATGCCACTGTCATAGAGTTTACCCAATGTATCACCGGCCTTGCCCTGTGATGAACTATGCTGTAGGTGGGAGGCTCCATAGACCATGGTGGGGGCACCATAATTAACCGAAGAGGGTGCTGAGTCTTGTTGGTAGAGATAACGTTCTTTCTTGGAGCGCTTTTGTACAGTCTTCCAGATAACGATCACTGAGAGTTGGGCCAGCAAGAAGGCGGCACCGGCAATGATGAGACCTGTAAAATGATAAAAGGGAAAAAATTGGTATAAAAAATATGAATATGAATATGGATATAGGAATCAATCGGATCTGTTATATATATATCCCCAAATTGTAAAATATTTATAAAAGATATAAACGAGTAATTGATATTATAATTAGATGAAATTTATGACAGGTTTCGACGGATATTATGTGACTTCGAACTTGGTGTGAGACCTGTATCAATGCTAGAATTTCTAAGATCTGGACGTAATGTCGGATTCTCTCGCCTCTGTGCGGTGGAGCCACGGTTGGTCCAATCTCGAACATATGAACAATAATTAACTTTTTACGTCAACTATAAAACATTTTAGAAAAATAGACACCTTAGAGGGACTAGTTTCCCCACCCTTCCCTTATAAAAAGGTACCTCTGGATTTTGAATATATATATATGGATTTACGAGATTTGGATACAATCGAAGATTAAATTAACTCAGAAGATGTTTGTCGAAATTGTCCATCTTCCCAATGGATCTGGGTTCTGTGAAAATATTTGATTCCAATTGCAGACATTCTTCACTTTTTATGCCGTCCTTTTTATACCCTCCACCATAGTATGGAGGGTATATTAAGTATGTCATTCCCTTTGTAACACTTCGAAATATACATTTTAGACTCGACAAAATATATATATTCTTGATCAGCATACAATTCTATGTCGATTTAGCGATGTCCGTCCGTCTGTGGAAATCACTCTAGCTTCCGAACGAAATGAAGTAGACTAATACAATTTTACTTAAATCTAAATTATGTCTGCAGGACTTTTGGTATTGAAAATGGGCTATGTAGGTCCACGTTTTGGTATAGCCCCCATATAATGGCACTTCCGATATTCGGTATTTTGATATTTTGGCGATTTTATTCACGGGAATCGTTTCAAATTTGGTATTTGAAGTTCGTAATCGGTACTACAGTCTGTAGAAATCACTCTAGCTTCCGAACGAAATTAAGTAGGATAATAAAATTTTACTCAAATCTATATTATGTCTGCAGGACTTTTGGTATTGAAAATGGGCTATGTAGGTCCATGTTTTGGTATAGTCCCCATATAATGGCACTTCCGATATTCGTATTTTGATATTTTAGCGACATTATTCACGGGAATCGTTTCAAATTTGGTATTTGAAGTTTGTAATCGGTACTACAGCCTATGACAGAAAATAGTCTGTGCAGATCCACGTCTTCGCATAGCCCCCATATAACGACACCTCCCGATATTCGGTATTTTGATATTTAAACGACATTATTCACCGGAATTATTTCAAAATTAGTATTTGAAGTTCGTAATGAATACTACAGCTTAAGGCAGAAAATTGTCTATGCAGGTCCACGCATTTGTATAGCCCCCATATAGTGTTGTCTTCCTATATCCTATGATTATTCACCGAATTTGTTTTCAAGTTCCGTATTTGAATATTGTAATAGCTTATGATAAAATTTGCCCATGCAGGTCCACGTCGCCGTATAGACCCTAATCTAATGGTTACATTCGATATTTTTAAGATTTTAGCAGAATTTTTAACGGAATTGCCAGATTCGTTCCAAATGGTGGAGAGCATTCAAAGTTCGGCCCGGCCTAACTTATAGCTTTTGATACTTGTTAATTTTGCTTTATGGGTTAATTTATATATTTATTTGAAATACATGTCCACCTTCAGATTATACGTATTTAGAAGGTTTTAGATGTATTTTTACGCAAATGTGTCTATTAAAGCTCTCCAGGAAACTTAACCATATACGCTATTTAAGACATATATTTTTAGAATAGCCCCACATGGCGGCATCTGAGCATTTTCTACAACCTAGTATGCCACATATGTCCATGACGGTACCGGATAACGTAAATCGGTTTGAAAGTCACAGGATTCGAAAGTTTTGGCCACTTGTAAAGAAGGTACCAGAGAGAGTTCATTTTTACAATACAAATTTGGTTTCAGATTATATATCCTCCACCATATTCCCCACTTCATAATTGAAAATTTTCAATAACCTTTCAATTTACTATCAAGAAAAATTGCCTAAATGCCACCCACCTAGAAAAACGATTTATTTTAAACTAGATTAATACCTTTTTTTATCGACCTGGCAAATTGTCCTACAAATTTTCCAACCATTGGCATAGTAGACTGAGAAAAACCATTTGACATACATTTAATTAATTGAAATTGTTGCTGTTGTAGGATTTTTTTTTAATTTTCAATAAAAAGTAATAACCACACATTAAATTATTTTCAAATTTCAGAAAAAAAACCTCAATTCTTGTTAATCCGGCGAATATTATCAATCTTCAGTGGAACAGATGCTGAGAGCCTTTAGAAGCTTCTAAACCTTATCGTTGTTTCCCCCCAATTTTTCATCGGAAATCTGTGGTGAAAATAAAATCCCAAGCAGGAGGAAAAACAACAACACTCTTAACTACTACAACAAATTTGGAGAGAGTTCGTGATCAGGTCAGTAGTTCAGTGGTTTAAACATGATATGTTCAGTTGCTGTATGGATGTTTTATTTTCGGCGGAGGCTGCTGCTAATCGTGCCATGGCTGAAGCTAATGCTTTTTTATGGATTTTTTTCTCATCTTGACATACCATGAAGTCTTGTAAGCAAGAAGAAAATAAAAAAATAAGAAAAAATGCCGGCGAAAAATATGCAGCAAAAAACTACAAGATATTTTAAAGTAAACCATAAACGTTAACTAAATATTGCCGCAAAAATAACAACAGTCAGTCAGGGAGTCGGAAGCCCCAGTTTAGAACAGCAGCCAGCGCAGCAGCGGCATTAACAAATTTTTAACGCTTGCAAAACATATGATGCCAACACAGAGCCAGACCCAGACCCAGCATCCATCCATCCGTCTGTCTATCCCATCATACACTGGGGCACTCTAATGGTAAGCAATAACCTTACAGTACATACGTATATATATTTTTTTCTTTTGTATGTCTACCACCTGTTGTGTGGCTCAACGTATGTTATCCAAAATATTTACAAAACTTCTGGTTTAAGGAGAAATGAAAAAAAGAACAGTGAATCAGTTTATCTGTGGGTGGGTGTGTGTGAGAGGGTCTCTTTGTGGTCTGAATAATTTATCATTGGCTTTATGGAATGTAGGTGGGTGTAGTTTTTATTTGGGGTAACGTTGTTTTTTTTTCGAAGTTTTGGTATGATTTAAGTTAAGAAACTTGGGAAGTGGGAAATCTGATATCCGTGGCAGAGGAAAAACATTTCGAAATTGGGTACGAAATAATGCCTTAGAGGGGATTGTAACTTGGTACCCCAGGTAGACAATAAACTTTTCTTTGGGCGATAAATTGGTTCGAAAAATATTTAAGGATTCAGATGGTCATGAAGGGAGCATATTGCGAAGGAATATTTTTCTTCTTTCAAAAAAAAAAATAAAAAATAACATAAAAAAGTAAATCGTTCTGTTCTGGAATTTAAAGGCGTGCTAGTCAGAGACTTAATAAATTAATGATTTAATTGATAAAAATTTTTGGAATGGAAAAAAATCTATTTTGCGCCACCTACTGGAAAGAAACTGCATTACTTTAAATATACAAGATCCAAACCATTCTCATCTATGACAAATGGGATAAACACTTTAATAAAATTCTTAAATTGTTTGACCTGAGTTAAGAAGTGAAAAATTGCCACTTTAGAGAAATAGATTAATGCAATGGAAGTTGAATTATAGGTGGCCCATAAGCAGTTTCGTGCCATATCTGAAAAAAAAAAGAATTCGCTGGCTGTCGCAGATTTACTTCCCACGTTTCGGATAGATTTCTATGATTGTTTGGTTTGCTGGTAACTTTCTATCACTTTCCAATTCTAACCAAAAAAGCTATAATATCCATAATTGAGAATACATTTTTCTGGAAGCAACTTCAGACTTTCTTCCGTTGTTTCGGTCAGAATTCTCCTCGCCCAATGGCAGTTGGGTTTGCTTGATTGTTTTAATTTAAGTATTTCCAAATCTAACCAGGGAGTATGAACAATAATTAATTTTGTTTGGATTGGTTTGTTTTTATTATCTCCAATAAGAGAAATAGACCTATAGTGAGTGTACAATTCATTTCAGACTTTCTTCCGAAATTTCGGACATTCTGTTTGAGATCTGCACGGCTTGATTTGTTGGAGTGTTTTTCATATTTTCCAGTAATAACCAATGCATTTGTTATATCCAGTGAGTGGGAAAATTTTAAAACTATTGTTGTACTGAAAGTAATTTCAGATTTTCTTTCGCCATTTCGAACAGAATTCTGTCAGATCCTGGTTTCCGGGTTTGTTTTTATTATTTCCAACATAAGAAATAGGCCTATTACATCCAGTGAGTGTAAAAAAAACTAACTAGTTACCTAGTTACAAAATACCACAGAACAGGATTCGGACAGCGTGTGACGGTTTCATTGGCCGTTTGAAGGCCATAATTCGTGCCAAAGGTGACAATTCGATCAAATCTAAATCTAATTCTAAAATTTGAAGCTATATCCGATATGTTTTGCTTTCATTAAATAAAATTAAAAATTATGGCATTTGACTTTGTTGCAGTTTTTTATCTCACCCTGCATAGAATTTATATGGAAGGTCTTATATCTCTAAACGGTGTTATCTTAATGGGAGGGAGACCTCTTGGGGGTATCCTGTGGAAGAACTGCCTATAGACACATTCTAATTTTTTCTTTGGCGGAGCTTCGGGACTTAAAAATATAGAACATTTGTACTGGGGCCATAATTGAAGGCCAGAGAGCTCTATTTCGCGAAAAATCTTGGTGATTGTAGAGCCCTGTGTTTTTGTTGGTGTCCACCAAAGATATTTTTGCAGTTCAGGTGATAGGTGGGCGAAACCTAAAGAATTTTTCATACATAATTTTTAAGAAAAAATGTATAGGTATGTTCGAATTTTTATGAATCTCCTTTAAAAAAATCCACGACAAACACTGTGGGTGTTTGGCCCCTGTATCATTAAACCTCCATCAACTTAGGCTTCACTTAACTAATTCTACATATAATAAATTTCCTTTTTATCTCTTTTCACCGGCAAGTGTCTTGCCATGGTCAAAATGTAGAACAGATTACCACAAAACGACCTTATCATTATGTTGGCGTTTTCATCGAACAAATGATCTGCGAGAGTTGGAGGCAGAAAATAAACCAATGCACACACACTTGTGAAAAAAAACATGTTGTGGAACAGCTTTATTTACATCAATTTTTTCTTTCTTTTTCAAGAAGACAGCAAAACAAGGAAGAGTTATGGCCAAGTTTAATGGTCATTTGATGACCATAATGTATGCATGCACACACATGATATGCCATTATGTGTAGCCTTTTTTCATTTCTCTCGCTTGGGCAGATCATTGTCAGCATCATTGTGGGTACACATACTACAATGAATTGTTGGCCAAGATCTTTATGAGCGTTTTTATGTAGGCTTAAGAGACGTAAACAAAAAGGGAAAAAAATCACAAATAAAAAACATTTACGTAAAATAATGACCTGAAATACTTTCTCTTGTAAATAATATTTTATGGCACTTTGATCTGCGCATAGAAGCTGAGAGATTTATGGTTAGGAAAATATATATTTTTTCACTCTTAATAATGATTAAGCAGTTTTTTTTGTCTTTTATGGAAATATTTTGAAATGTCATAAAAATAGGCATGTTTTTTTTTTTTCTTGCCAACAGGTGGCATGCTGAGATTTTTTTTTCTGTTTTTAGATAATTTAAAAGCTATCTTTGAAACTTACCATAACCATTGAGACAGGTCAAAGATTCTTCGGCAATGCCGGCATAGACCTTTTCATGATCATCGGAGGAATTCAGGGCATTTGTCTCCTCTTGATTGAAGCCAAATTTGTCGGTAATTTGAATAGACTGGACCAGCAGAATATTATCTTCGGCAGATTTTTGGCTAACATCACGTTGATGGCGGCCATGGTGATGGAAGGCAGAGGTGGAGACCATGTATTCAGCTGAAATTACAAAAAAAAAGGAAACAAATGAATATTTTCAATTCAATGTTGAAAGATTTTTTTCTTCCAAACTCACCACCATCTGTGCCATTGACAATGGAACGCTTGCGACGACCATAGGAAACCAGGGATTTCAATTCACCACTCACAGAGTCTTCATTGTCACAAATGACAGGTTCACAGCGAGGAATACAGGGTGTAACCAAGGCACGGAATTGCACAACTTCGGACGAGGGGAATTTGAAGGCATCGAATTGTGAAACCAAGAATTTACGATTCTGAGACATTTTCTGTACTGGACCCATAATGTATTGGTCGGTGGGACAGCCATGAGCATCAATGAGAGTGATTTCAGCATTATCAGTACCATCCATGGCAACCAATTCGCGTACGAAAATTTCATAGGGACTGTTTTGATCGGTAATTTCGAATCTCAAGGCCAGGGGATCACCAACTTCAGCAATACGTTTCATGTCACTGCCATCGCGGGAGGTGATCTTCATGATAATATTGGGAGAATCAATGATGATTTCTTCGCTCAACGAGGACTCAATTTCTCCTGTCACACCCAAATCGACATCATTCGACACAGTCTTATTGGTCAGATCGTATTGGCAGGAGACAGCCAAACCCAAATCGGAGGAGGTAACAATCATATCGTGATGTTGAATAACAATATCATTCATATAACGGCCATAGGCAGATTGTCGGACATTACATTCCAAGTCATTGTAGCCCATGCGGAAATCGAATTCCAGTGAATTGTTAACATTGACGGAGCAGGACTTGGGGGCACCCTTGGCATAGACTTTGCCATCGAACAATTTTGAGGTACGGATTTTGGTAATCATTTCCCCGGATTTACATTCAATTGAGACATTGTAGCAGGAAGACAATTCATAGGTGGCAGCCTCTGGGACATCCAAATAGGGATCCAAGACATCGGTCAAGGTGGAGCGAGAGTGATGAGACAAACGGCAGACCATGTCACCGGTATCGTTGTAGTCATAAGAATGGCATCTAGAAATGAGCACAGGAAATGTACATCTTTCCTATAAAATTTTATATTTTTCCCCCCAAAATTATTTACCTGTAAGGTGAGTTCAAGCACAAGTCACGGCATTCCTCAATCGAGTTGATATCCTGATACACCGAATCGACAGTCTTTAAGATTTTACCCGAAATTCTCTTAAATTCACACAATTTGCTGGGCTCCTCAGCACAGTTGTTTTCCAAATAGTCAGCACCATCATAGGGTTCCACATTATTCGATCCAGACAAGGTAATACGATCCATGTCACTCAATTCACACAGGCCGGAATGACGATAATAATTGGCAGATCTAGTTGGTAGAACAAAGGCAAAAGGGCGGGTTGTTTTGGCGATTCCAAATATACACACACATGGATAGTTAGAGAGAGAGAGCAAGAGAGGGAGTGCGTGAGTGATATAATGCGAAGAAGTTGCAGAAAGCGTGAGAATTGCAGGTATACAAAGAGTAGAGAGGGGAAAGAAAATGAAACAAAGAAATGAAGAAAAAAATTAATTATTTTAAATTAAAAAATTATCAGCTTATTTAGAACCTTATCTAATGTTGTGTTAGTAAAATGTATCTCATAAAGTGTATAGATTTTGTGAAAGAGTGTTAATGTTTTGAGTGTAGAGAGAGTGAGTGACAGAATTGAAATATCACTGCATTGTAGAGATAGGAAATGCAAGTGGAAAAAGAGCAGCAGCGCATTTCTATGTTCTCACATCTTTGTTAATGTGTTAGTCAATGGGTTCTCCATGTATTTGAGATTTGCGTTCACTGCGATGACTCGTATGGTCATTTGCCTTCACCTAAATAAAGCTCTAACAAAAATGATGAACATAAGTAGTCAAACGAAAATGAAGCAAATGTAAAGACTTAAGAAATTATAAAAATTGGAAAGAGGCGAAGTTTGAAGAAAATATATGAATAAATGATTTAGGAATTTGTTATCAAATTAACAAGAAAGTGAAGGATAGGCCTAGACAGAGGAAATCAACGAAGGGACCTTATGTTTAATATGATGGTACTGGACTCGTTTTTAAGGATATTTTTGAAAAGCATTTATAAATTTTCATTTATTTTTTGATTCGTGTCCCATAAACTTCCCTATAAAATTTTTCCTTGAATTGTTTACGGACTTTAATCATTAGGGCAGGTTTTTAAAGTGAAATTAATAACTTTTTCACGAATTTGAGGCCACCATTGCTTTATTGGACTAGCCTAAATGTTAAAGCAAATCCAGCCTACAATGTCTGCGATTTTGATTATAGACGTATTTTAAAAAGGGGTTGAGGAGAATTTTAATAAATGTGGGAAAATGTCATGCTTCGAGGTTTAATATTTCGAAATAAGTCAGTTTTTGAAAAATTGTGGTAACCAATGCAATTTTTATAGATTACGAGATTACCTTAGATTTTTTTCTAAACTGTAGAAAAAATATGATGCCGACAAATATATTCTTTTAATTTTTTTAGTGCACAAGAACGTCGTTTCATCCAGTACAATGAATAAATTTTGGTTTTCGAGTTTTAACTTGGTTTCAAGGTGGTGATAATAAACAGAACTCCTCAGTGACATAAACCGTAAATAAACGCCGAAGTTTCTGCATTCTTTCACAATAGTTATATACATGATTTATCGTTCCTTCACTCTGACCTTAGATTTTGGTGAGAATTTTGAAAAAAAAAGTTTATCGTGATGTAATTCAAGCGCGTGATGTAATTCAATACTGTGATTTCTTTATATTTTGCTGGAAAACCAAAAGTGGCTATCGTTAGCGCACTCCTGGCACTGGTATCGTAGCCCGAAGTCAAGGAAGTGGATGGAAGAAAACAGCAACATCAGCAGAAATGGTTCGAAAAGTATAGAAGCGACTTGATCGACTTGACCTGAACATATCGCAATATTCCATTCGGCAAATATTGAAAAATGAGCTCGGGGTAAAGCCATTGACATTCTAAGAAGTGCAAGAACTTTCACCGCAACAGAAGGAAAATAGACTCAAAACAGCTCAAGAGTTGCTTGGCTTGGCCGAAAGTGGTGAACTGCCGAATTTGGTTTTCTCCGGTGAGAAAACATTCGTTGTCCAGCAGTTTGTAAGCAAACAAAATTATCGTGTTTACTTGCCAAAGAGGTCAGCCAAAAATATGCCCCTTCGGTTGGCCACCAGAACTCAAGTGCCGGCCATTTTGATGGTATGGGTCGCCATAACAGCCGATGGTCGCTCTTCGTTCGTATTAATCGATCGTGGCATTAGAATAAATGCCAAATATTATCGCGAAAATATTCTGGAGGGTATATTAAAGCCTTGGGCACGCAAACATTTTGGACGCAAACCTTGGACATTCCAACAGGACTCAGCATTAGCGCACTCAGCACGCGCCACCCAAGAATGGTTACAAAATGAGGTTCCTCGCTTCATTTTCAGCGCATAATGGCCACCAAAATCTTCGGATACCAATCCGTTGGACTATTGACTCTGGAGTATTTTGGAAAGCAAGGTTGGCACTAAAACAATACCAAAGTGTCGATCACCTTGAGCAAGCGCTTCTCCGGGAATGGGCCGAAATACCGCATAGTAACATTAGGACAGTGTGTGACGGTTTCATTGGCTGTTTGAAGGCCATAATTCGTGCCAAAGTTGACCAATGCGAACAAATCTAAACTTATTCTAAAATTTGATGCTATTTCCGAAATGTTTGCTTTCATTCAATAAAATTTAAGATAAAAATTGTAAGAATTATGCCGTTTGACTTTGTTGTTGTTTTTTATCTCATCCTGTAGGCATGCCATTTGTGGAAAGCAAAGCATAGATGGAATAACTTTCTTTTTTTTAAAAAAGATGATCTAGAATCTAAAGACTCTTAGGTCAGATGAAAGTTATGAATTTTATACAATTCTATCATTAGAAAGACTTAGAGCCCCAGTAGTCTTACGATTATGTTAGTATTGAAGAAGAATTTTTTGTTAGAATTGTATTGTGTATGTATGTATAAGTGGAAGAATGTAATTATGTATGTGTAATTATTAATCACCTTTTTTTTGTTTGGTATCTTTTGATTCTTAATCTAAGTGTGTAGGTGTATTTATATAATTTTTCTTTCGAAAAACAGTTTTTAGTATTAATTATTGTGTAAGATGTTTTTGGGTTAAACCTCCATTCTTTTTTTGCTATTGTTAACTCGAAAAACAGGATTCTTAATAGGAATCTTGTTTTTCTTAAATTTATGTATCAACTCTTTATTTTTCTTGATTAGTTTTCAATTTACTTTCATTTCGACAGTACGCACTGTTTGATTTTTCTTTCATTGCTGCACAAAACTAGTTGTGCTCTCCCCCCAAAAAAAATAAAGTTATTCAAATAACAGCAACTCCAAACTTACCTGCATGTAAATTCAGTTTCACCCAAACACAATTCCAAACAGTCGCGTCTTGAGTACACAGTTTGACTGGATTTAACATGATCCACTAAACGATAGTTTTGCACACGATCAATGCACCAGGCCTTGGAACAAGGACGTACACCCAAACAAGATTTTTGTGCGTAAATGGTGAAGACAGGGAATTGGGAACGAGAAAGTGAACCTGAGAAGATAAAAAAGAAACGAGAAAAGAAATGAAAATACAAAAAATACATTTAAAAAAATTATGGGACATAAATTAATATAAAGATACACATATACACAAAAAAGGAAAAAGAGTGACTGGGAAAAAGAAAAGCAAATGTATAAAGATGTAGTTGCCAATATTTTTTTTCTGGTTTCCAATCAATGATCATTATGGTCCTCAGCTCAGCAGCAGCTGCATCTACGCACCATCGGACCAGATTTTATGTTTTATTTAGTTGTGTTTTCAAAATGCGTCTGTGTTTGTACGTGTGTGCCTAACTGTTTCATGTGTAAAACCAACTCAAATCGAGTTTGTTCTGGACCTCGCATTCTGTTTTGGCCCCCAAAACACATTCTGTGCAACAGCTAGCAGTTGGCCTTTTTTTTTCTTTGTTGCCTTTCAATTCTGCAGACACCACATATTTTCAACACGCACTTGTTGTTGCAGTGTCGTAAAAAAATTAACAGGCGTTAAGAAATACGAAAAAGGCTTTCAAAATGTGGACGACTGTTTTGTCGTTTATTGGTGTTGCGCAAAAGCGAAATAAAGGCCTCTATGAAAACTTACAGAGCTCTTTGCCAAGAGCCTACTCTTCTTGCTCTTCTGGCCTAAAGTTTCGTTGTTGTTTTTTCTCACACAAAGTGCGTCGTTGCATGATGTTGTTGCTGTCGCCGTTTAAAGGCGTTGGCACAAAAATGATTTTGTTACTTGGATTTTCTGTTTTGTTGTTCCCTCCTCGTCTCTTTTATTTTTTTTGGCCGGAAACCTGTTATTAAAAGCAGGCCTATGCCTGAATTTAAGTCATTTTTTATGTTCCTTAAGCAGCTACAAGAAACAAGCATACAAAAGCAAAACATATACACTTATGCCTTGAACGAACCAGGCGCGTAAGTTTTGCCAACAAATACGGCAAACTGACTGCCTCCAGCATACTCCAGCAAGGACAAGTTTATGGGGGTATTTTTTTTGTTTTTGAAAAAAAGTTCTGTATAAAAATTGAGGGGCTTGTCTCGGGCTTGGTGTTAGTATGACAAAACAGAATGGTAAAAAGCTTTTTGTTCCTTGTCATTATTTTTTTTTTTTCACTATGCATTGTAGAAGCTAAGTGTTCTGGCGTTTTATTGGCTTGAGGTTAAGAAAACTGCTTGCCGTCGAATGGGTTGCGGTATGATCAGAAGAGAAGTACGTCTTAGTATTGAGGATTTCCTATCCTTGAATCAAATAGGGAAATATTCTCAAGAGAAGGAAATTGGAATCACAAACATGTCTTCAGACAAATTATAAGGTTTCCCAAAAAACCTACAGTAAGAGAGCGATACGAAATGTCTCAAAACCGAAAATAGCTTTTATTTCCCAGAAAAATTAGAGTACCACATGGGCTGCATGGGTTTCTTTCGAGGTGAAATTGGCAAAGCCACCATTCTATTTCAGGTCCAAGGAAAACCTCTGGTTGGGACGTGACATTAAAGCAGATGGTATATCTGTTTGTGGTTTTACACTGGAAATCTCAGAACCAAAGCAGTCGTCTGACAGCCTCTTTAAAAGTCGTCCATACAGTCTTGTAACAGTCGTTCGAACAGACTCTTTTAATGTCATTAAAGACCCCCAAATAGACCTTCTAAAAGTCATCACGTGTATAATGATGTAAGGTCTATTTGGGGTTCTTTTTTCTTTTAAAGGGTTTAAAAGTCGTTTAAAGAAACAGTTCAATAGTGGTCTCAACAGACCCTTTAACAGTCGTCTCAACAGAGGCACATGGCCCGTAGGGTTATTTTGAGGTGAAATTATCAAAACGACCTATCTCTTTCAGGTCCAAGGAAATATTCTGGCTGGCCATGTCCATACAGTCTCCGTAATAATTGTCCATACAGCCTCCGTAACAATCGACTCTTCTAAAGATGCTTTAACAGTCTTTTCAACAGCCCCACATGGTCCACAAGGTTTTCTTTCGAGATGAAGTTACAAAAGTGACCAATCTTTTTCACTTCCAGGGAAATCCTCTATATGGGTCATGTCGTCCACACAGCCTCATTAACAATCGTCCAAACAGACTCGTTTAAAGTCCTAACATAATCCCTAACAGACCTCATAAAAGGCGTCACTACAGACCATATAACAATCGTCTCTACAGACCTCTTAACAGTCGTTTCTAAAATCCTCCTAACAATCGTCTCTAAAGTCCTCCTAACAATCGTCTCTAAAGTCCTCTTAATAGTCTCAACAGACCCTTTAACAGTCTTCTCAACAGACCCTTCAACAGTCGCCTATAGAGCCTCTGTAACAGTCGTGTATAGAACATCTATAAAAGTCGTCTACAGACCAATTTACAGCCTACTTAACAGTCCTCTACACAGCCTTCTTAACAGTCGTTTATACAGCTTCCTTAACAGTCGTCAATACAGTCTCTGTAACGGTCACCCTTAACAGTGGTTCATACAGACTCCTTAATAGTAATCTTTACAGCCTCCTTAACAGTCGTTCATACAGACTCCTTAAGGGTCGTCTATGCAGCCTCTTACATTGTTCAGACTTTTTATTCCTTATTTCCTCAGATATTTTCTTTTTGGTTTCTCAAATTTTTGATTCCGCCCAGTGGAGTTACAGACCAACTCGATTTGTTTACCCACCTCCCCCCAACCGAACACTGCTAAGCACTTTATTCCCAGTTACATTTCGTAACTTAACTCGGTATATGAGCACACCGCAATGTTCTTTGCTGCTTGCAAAATTACTTTTATTGTTCATTGCGATTTAGCTGCTTTTACATCTTCTTTCTCCACTCCATATTCGCCCCCTTGCTATCCGCTGATATCATATATCTTGTGGTTACTCACCTGGTGTTTTGTCCGCCGTTGTCTTAAATAATACACAGAGTCCGGTTTCATAATTAACAGCGCTGCATGATTCATTTATCTGACAGGCCTCCAGGCAATCGGTCAACATAAGTGTACCGGGCAGTGTGTCAAGCATTTTTGATGGCGCCGATAATACATAACTGCAAAAATAGAAGAAAGAAAAAAACGCAAAAAACAATGTTAGCATAGATATACAACATAAGTGCATGACGGTAGTTTGTCTTAGGCCTATTACTTAAATTAAAGAGCATAAAGCACAACTCGGAATGAAGAGGTGTCTTAACTGTTGCATAAAATCTTTGCACAAAATTTCCTATTCCGTTTTAAGTGGCTTAAATGGACACAGAGTTTAAAACGGTGGCTTATTTTTTGCATAATTTATTATATGCCAATGGGATTAAATGCTGATTTGCGTGGGTTTTAAATAGTGTGGTTTTAAACGATTAAAATTAAGTGTGGTCATTTATTTGGCTTGTTTGTCCAGGTCCTATGATTGATATGATAAGGATTTGTTATAATACGTAAAAAATCTTAATGACATTGAGTGGAATACAAGAAGAACAAGGCAAATGCATGATATACTAGTTTTCTTGTAGATAAAAAATAAAGTTTGTGTCTTAAGTCTGTTGTTTAGGGGTCCTCAATCTATAAGAATTTATACATTGATTCCTTATCTCTAGGTATTACAAACAACTGAAATGTACATATTCTAGTATTAGGGGTTTTAATTTGAAAATTTCAATATTTAGGGGGAATTTAAATTTGAAATTTCTAAAAACAGATCTAAAATTCAAAGTAAAACAAGTAAAAAAGCTGTAAGTTCGGCCGGGCCGAACTTTGACTACCCTCTACCATTTGAAACGAATTTGGCAATTTTCAATTTTCAGTTCAAAATTCTGTTAAAATCTTAAATTTACCGGACGTAGCCGTTATATTAGGGTATATACGACGACGTGGGCCTGCATGGGCAAGTCTTGTCATATTGCAATACCATTACAATATTCAAATGGGAAACTTGAAAAAAAAATTGTGAATAATGTCGCTAAAATCATCAAAATACCGAATATCGGAAGGTACAGTTATATGGGGGCTATACGAAAACGTAGACCTGCACAGACAATTTTCTGTCATAATCTGTAGTATCCACTACGAACTTTAAATAACAAATTTGAAACAATTCCGGTGAAAAATGTCGCTAAAATCATCAAAATACCGAATATCGGGAGGTACCGCTATATGGGGGCTTTACGAAGACGTGGACCTGCACAGACAATTTTCTGCCATAGGCTGTAGTATCCATTATGAACTTCAAATACTAAATTTGAATAATGTCGCTAAAATCCTCAAAATACCTAATATCGGATGGTAACACTATATGGGAGCTATACCAAAACATGGACCTACATGGCCCATTTTAAATACCGCAGACATAATATACATTTAAGTAAAATTTTATCAACCTAGCATATTTGTAGGAATGCCCTGAAAAGACTTTCTCTAGAAAAGACCCATCCTGCGTCTTTCTCCTTTTTTTTGATATTCAAATTTGATAGACCTCCCTAGGTGTAAATGCAGATGTTTTTGTAATCACTTCTGCCGATCTTCTCTATTTGTAGGTCAATAAATACTAGCTTATTTGTAGGAATGCCCTGAAAGGACTTTCTCTAGAAGAGGCCCATCCTGCGTATTTCTCCTTTTTTTTTTTTTGATATTCAAATTTGATAGACCTCCCTAGGTGTAAATGCACATGTTTTTGTAATCACTTCTGCCGATCTTCTCTATTTGTAGGCCAATAAATACTAGCTTATTTGTAGGAATGCCCTGAAAGGACTTTCTCTAGAAGAGGCCCATCCTGCGTCTTTCTCCTTTTTTTTTTTTTTTTTTTTTTGATATTCAAATTTGATAGACCTCCCTAGGTGTAAATGCACACGTTTTTGTAATCACTTCTGCCGATCTTCTCTATTTGTAGGCTAATAAATATTAATTTATAAATTCTTCACTCCCCTTGATATTCTTTAACAAAGCAAAAATTTATTTTCCCACAATATAAGTCTGCAGACGTTTGTTTTTTCTCTCACTCCCTAACCATTTCAATAAATCAATTAAAATACCTCCAAATGCTATAATTATTATAAATTCAAATTCTTCCCTCCCTCCCATCTCTTTTGGTTTTCTAGAACTCTTTTTTACCAACACACAAACGCGCAACGCCGTTGGTGGTGGCACATTACGGTAGTTAATTGTTTAACGCCTTAATATGTTCTAATTCCATAATGGTAGCATTAATCACATTTAATACCTAAAGTGCTGCTGAACTTTCATCTAAATGGTTGCCTAAGATGTGAAAACATACAAAGAAGAATAAAACAAATACAGAAATGAAAACGTATGTTTTTTTGTATCTACGACCACACTAAGAGCCCATCATCATCGCCACCATCCCCAGCTAAGATGACTGTGCGTAAAAATAGATATTTAGCGCTTTAAGTTGAAACGATTTTCGTTTTCCCAATAAAATGAAATTGAAAGTTCAATGACTATAAATTTTCGTTGATAATAATGTTTGAAATATTTATGAATATTATTTTCGAAATTGGCGGAGTGAATGATAATATGTTAACCCCTTGCTACGCTTATATTATCATTTTAAAATGCATATTTTATTGAGTTGTTAAAAACGAATAGTTTTTGTATGGGAAACTATTTGCATGAGAACAATGGCAAACTAATTTTGGATTATAAAATATCATATGCGGAGGATTACGAAATTTTCTTATTGTTCTATACAAACTGCATAAATAAAGAAATTTCACCGCTATTAAAATTTGCGTTTCTATACATATAATTGATGGCTGCTTAAAAAAAAAATTGTTAAAAGACAATATTGATAGACGATCTTTAAAACACATATTTTTTACAAATTTTTAACATATACAGGATGAGAAGAAAAAACTGCAACCAACTTCAGACTACTGTCATTTTTAAGCCACTCGTCCAACAGCTGTTAATATTATTCCAGTGACAGCTCATTATTTTCCAGAATTTTCCAGAACAAAAGTTATTCTTGATGGAATTCAAGCGTGATAGTGTGATTTCTTTATATTTGGCCAGAAAACCACAAGTGGCTACCGTTAGAGTACTCCAGTATATAAATGTGAATAAATGTTTTTATAGAGTAGCCCGAGGGATTTTTTTAAATTTTGGCTGGAACACCATAAGTGGCTATCGTTAGAGCACTCCAGCATTTCAATGTGAGTAAATATTTTGTGTCTCGTACCATCGCTCGTTACCGTGACAAAGCAACATCAGCAGAAATGGTTCGAAAAGTGGCCGAAAAATGGCTCGTGAGCAGAACATATCGCAATATTCCATTCGGCAAAAATTGAAAAATTAGCTCGGGGTAAAGCCATTGAAATGTCAAAAAGTTCAAGAACTTACACCGCAACAGAAAGAACATAGACTCAAAAGCGCTAAAGAGATGCTTCGCTTGGCCGAAAGTGGTTAACTGCCGAATTTCGGTTTCTTCGATAAGAAAACATTCGTTGTCCAGCAGTTTGTAAACATTGTCAAGTAATCGTGTTTACTTGACAAAGTGGTAAGCTGAAAATGTGCGCCTCCTGTTGGCCACCAGAACTCAAGCACCGGCCATGGTGCTGGTGTGGGCTGCCATAACAGCCGATGGTCGCTCTCCGCTCGTATTAATCGACCCTGGCATCAGAATAAATTCCGAATGTTATTGCGAAATATTCTGGAGGATGTATTAAAGCCTTTGGCACGCAAACATTTTGGATGCAGAACTTGGACATTCCAACCGGACTTAGCACCATCGCACTCAGCACACGCCACCCATGAATTATTACAAAATGAGGTTCCCCGCTTCCTTTCCAGCGCACAATGGCCACCAAAATCTCCGGATACCAATCCGTTGGACTATTGTGTCTGGAGTGTTTTGGAAAGCAAGGTTAGCACTAAAAAATATCAAAGTGTCGATCACCTCAAGCAAGCGCTTTGCCCGGAATGGGCCAAAATACCGCAAAGCAACATAAGGGCAGCGTGTGACGGTTTCATTAGCCGTTTGAAGGCCATAATTCATGCCAAATGTGAACAATTCGAACAAATCTAAACTTATTCTAAAGTTTGATGCTATTTTCGAAATTTGTTACTTTCATTCAACAAAATTTAAAAAATATAAAAATTATGGCATTTGACTTTGTTGCTGATTTTTATCTCTCCCGGTAGACTTGTATAATCTGAAATTGCATCTGAAAGCATTTGGTAACCATGCACATGAATTTCGATGCATAACTCCGAGTTTATGAAAACATTTAAATGTTGTTCTTAAGCCCCGGATTTCTTTATTTGTTTGGAGCAGCTTCATTTGCTGTGCCTGAGCGTCGTTGTTAAATCATTGAGACTTCAAGTTTGATTTAACTCAATTTAAAACCATATTTTTTCCATCACTGATAAAACAAAAGACTTAAAACACGAACTTGATTTAAATAAGCGAAAGTACAAACTTCGAAAAATCTTTTATTTATTTTATTGTCTACTTTTTATGTAACTCTTTTTGAATGTTCATAGCTTCTCTTTGTTCTAAACAAAAGACATTTGACCCCACCTCGTTTGATAAAGACCGACACAAGACAAATAGCCAGCTTTCTTCTTATTTTGATTGTCTTTTTCTATTATATAATTTTAGTTTTCTTTCTTTTCACGGGTATTGATACGACAATGGTTGCCCAACAGGTGCCCCCTAACAAAAGACTTAAGACACAAACCTGAACAATTGATATATCACTCGTTGAACACTCTTTCATTCTCTGATTCAGTAATAATTATAATTTTCCACTCATTTTCTCTCCACTTACCCCGTTATAATTTCAAAACCAATCATATCCGGATCACATTCTTCTTCAACCATACCGCCGCCATTACCGCTTTCAGCCATTGGCTTTTCTGTCTTCGATTCTTGTGGCAACTGGGCATTTCCGTTGATGGCCGATGCTGCTGCTGCAGCCGATTCCAATGGTTTTGGCAATTCGCTGTCATTCTGTACAATATTTCCGGGCAAATCAGCTTCCTCAATGCTAACGTTTTCCGTCTTGAGTAGGGGGGCTGCTGTGCTCGATGTTGTAGAACTAATGGCGGGTTGGGCGGTGGTGGTGGTACTGCTGCTGCTGGTGCTGGCGGCTGCTTGTGGTGAAGGTGTTACATTGGTGCGAGGGAAGGTTTTGGCCGGCTTAACAGGACGTTTGGTTTTACGTGCCGCCGTTGCTGAGCTGAGCACCAGGAAAAGCATAAAAAATACTAGACTTTTACGCAGAAACATTGTGAGTGTGTTTGTGTGTATGTGCTGCAATGTGGGGTATCCTCTTCTGCAAAGAGAAAGGAGAAGAGAAAATATTTTAATTTAATTGCATTGAAAATATATTAATGAGTGCTATAATATTATGATTAGTGTTCGGACACATTAATGCATTGATTTCGCATGCGTTAATGTAATTTAGCTGTTTGGTCGTTTCTTTCTTTATGGCTGGCTGCACAAACGACCATGTGTGGTGGTTTTGTTGTTTTTTTTTATTTTTTTGCCTCCATTATCTTGGCATGAAAGAGCAGTTTTCCCACTCTCTGTGGGGTATTTCGCTTTTAGTTTTATTAGCCATTAAGAATTTTATTCCTTTTCAAGTTTATAGTACGGATAACGGTTATTAAAAGTGTTCAATTAATTTCAATTCTGACACAAATGGTAGTGCAGCTGGTGTTGGGAGGTCTAACCGGAAAAACAAAACTTTAAATCAATTCCTATGACTTTGCAGAGGAATATAAATCTGGTAGAGGGTTTGGAGAGAATCACAATTAGAAGTGAATAAATAAATAAATAAGAATAATCGTAGGATTTTTGAGAACAGTATTAGGATTGGCGCAGCTCCAACAGTAGATTTTAAAGGACCATCAGTTAAATAATATTTGCTTATTAAAAAAATCGTAATTATTTTACTAGCATCGAAAAGACAAAATCTTGAATTTTATAAAAAAAAAAAATATTCCAAACACCATCGGAGGACTTGTAATAAAAATGCTAAGCATCAAAATCGTGGATTTTTAAAAAAAAAATATTTAACATTTTTATAAAAATATTTCAAGCATCAAGGTCGTGGATTTAAAAAAAGTCAAGCATCGTAATTCTGTTTATACCCTATGCCCTACACCACATGGTGGCCAGGATATTATGTCTTTGTGCATTTGTTTGTAACAGGCATAAGGAAACGAGATAGACCGATAGTTCCTTTTGATGATCTGCATAGAATCACATTCTGAGTCGATTTATGCATGTCCGTCCGTCTGTCCATGTATTTTTGTAAACAAAGTACAGTTCGCATTTATTTCTCTATCCAGATGAATTTTGCACAAATCATTTGTTTGCCCCAAGGACGAACCCTATTGAAATTGGAGATAATCGGTCAAAATTTAGATATAGCTCCCATATATTACTTCGTCCGATTTACCTTTTATTGTGCACCAAATGTATAATATTTGTCCAAATGGGATGGAATTTGGCACTTACGACCGAATTGAGTCTAGAAGCTAGTATGCCGAATTTGTTGAAGATCGGTTCAGATATAGCTATAGCTCCCATATATACTGTTCATCCGATTTGTTATATATGTTACTCACAGCCGTAATATGCACTCCGTAACAATGATATTCAGGGAAATATATCAAATACAGCTCAGAAATATCTTTGCCAAATTTTATCGAGATCGGTTCAGATTTGGATATAGCTCCCACATATATTTTTATCCGATTTCAATTTAATTTCAAACCAAATGGGCAATACAAGTCCGAATTTAAAAGATACAAATGTTTCGGCATATTTAGTTCTTTTAACTTTAAATTATAATTCAAATCATAGCGTGTATGATTGAATTCTCCTATAAACACTTTTAATTGTTATGTGGAGCTCTACTAAATTAGCAAAGTGGTGTAGGGTATCATAAAGTTGGCCCCGCCCGACTTTAAGACTTCCTTTACTGGTTTTTATATAAAAATATTTCAAGTATCATAAAATCCATAATAGTGTAAAAAATAGCTGCCACTGGAATAATTTTAACAGCTGTCGGACGAGTGGCATAGAAATGACTGCAGACTGAAAATGGTTGCACTTTTTTCATCTCACCCTGCAACATTAAGAAACTTTTTTAATTGCATTCGAAAAAAAATTAATAATAATGTTTACAATTATTTTTGTAGCATTTTCAATCTTATAATATTGAAAGTTTTAGAATTTTTTTCCGAAATTATCGTTGTCATGTTTAAGGATCGACCTGTGAAGAAATATGTTTCACAACGTCTGATTGTTTTGATACAATTTCACGAATTGCAGTTCATTTCGAATTTCTGCCCGAAGCGTTCCCAGTGAACCTTTACAACCTGCGAGAATATCATTGCAATTTTTCCTTCACCAAATATTAATGTTCTCAGCTTAGTTCTTTTCACACTATTTTAATTCTAAGTTGGCTTATTTTTGTTGCAGAGGCTGTGGGTAAATTCTTTGTTTCCTGCATTTTTGTTTTCATTGCAGATATTAAGAAGCTAGGTTTAACAATAATCTTCAACTATATCTCACACTATGAGTTCTCATCAAAATCCAACTTCTCACAGGCCAAGGCGTCACATAACACACACCGACACCGGCAGAATTGGGCGTTGCTAATTATGCTGTCAGTTTTTGCTCTAACCTATGTTTATTAAATAATTATCCTAAGCGAACAAAAGAAATGCCATAGAGAAAAAAGTAAACACAGGCAAATAACACAGAAAAGGCTGTAGATCTAATTAGCCCATTAAGATTTGTTTAGATTTTCAATCTTGAAATTAAAAAGAGATACAACAAAAAAAAAAAAAAAAACAGAATTCTCATATTGTGACCGTTAATATTGTGTGGCAATGTGGCTTATTTAATTAAGGGTTTTGACGAATATTTTTTTTATTTTTTTTTTGGATTTGCAAAAAATTACTCAAACAGTGAGAGATAGAGAGAGGTATGCCCAGTTAAAATTACCGTTATTTTTGTGGTTTTTAATTTCTTTCGTATTCGTTCTTTATTTCTTTTGTTGTGTATGGTTAGTTTGATTAGAGTGTTGATGAGAGTTTTGAGAAGATAAATTTCATTCATAAATTTTACCGGTATCTTTTTTTTTTTTTTTGGCTTGTTAAGGTGACTGTTGTTGTTAGCTATTATGTGCTAATGTGTGTTGATATTAAAAACATAATTAAAGAGTTTCAATGACTTGTTGCCGCAAACATCCGGCAGTATTCTAATTAAATACGATTGTTGGCTATTAAACATGTATTTAGATGCTAGGCTATCTATGATTGATTATGTCAATTGTGTGATAGAAAAACCTGAATGATTTTTAATATAATACCGATTTAATACACAGGGCGAGATGAAAAAACTGTAACCAACATCATACTGCTGTCATTTCTAAGCCACTCGTCCGACAGCTGTTAAAAATAGTCCAGTGACAGTTTACAAGGTTACAAAAGTATTTTGGTGAGATTTTTCCAGAAAAAAGTTATTCGTGATGGAATTCAAGTGTGATAGTGTGATTTCATTATATTTGGCTGGAAAACAACAAGTGGCTATCGTTAGAGCACTCCAGCATTTAAATGTGCATAAATCTTTTTGTCTCGTACCATCGCTTGTTACCGCGATACTGGTAGCGTAGCCCGACGTCTAGGAAGTGGAGGGAAGAAAAAAGCAACATCAGCAGAAATTGTTCGAAAAGTAAAGAAGCGACTTGATTGAAACCCGCGTCGCAGTTGCCGAATTTACAAAAAATGTCAAATCTAGAAAACTTTGGTTCGCGTTAGCCGGTTAGGGACATACCCAGAGGAAAAAATCTCAAGCCCTGGCCGAAGGCCAGTCACTTACAAAAGTTGAAATTCCAAAAAGTGTAAGAACTTACACCGCAACAGAAAGAAAATAGACTAAAAAGAGTTGCTTCGCTTGACCGAAAGTGGTGAACTGCCGAATTTGGATTTCTCCGATGAGAAAACATTTGTTGTCCTGCAGTTTAAAAACAAATAAAATGATCGTGTTTACTTGCCAAAGAGGTCAGCTCGGCTCAAGCTCCGGCCATGGTGATGGTGATGGTGTGGGCTGCCATAACAGCCGATGGTCGCTCTCCGCTGGTATTAATCAAACGTGGCATCAGAATAAATGCGAATATTCTCGCAAAAAAAATTCTGGAGGGTGTATTATAGCCTTGGGCATGCAAACATTTTGGCTGCAGACCTTGGATTTTCCAACAGGACTCAACACGCGCCACCCAAGAATTGTTACAAAATGAGTTTCTTCGGTTCACTTCCAGCGCACAATGGCTACCAAAATTTCCGGATACCGATCCGTTAAGCTATTTTGTCTGAAGTATTTTGGAAAGCAATGTTGGAACTAAAAACTACAAAAGTGTCGATCACCTCAAGCAAGCGCTTCGCCGGAAATAGGCCAAAATGCCGCAGAACAACATTCGCGCAGCGTGTGATGGTTTCATTGGCCGTTTGAAGGCCATAATTCTTGCCAAAGGTGACCAATTCAAACAAATCTAAACTTATTTTAAAATTTGATGTTATTTCCGACATTTGTTGCCTTCATTCAATAAATTAAAAAAAAAATGTAAGAATTATGGCGTTCGACTTTGTTGCATTGTTTTTTTTATCTCAACCTGTATTGCTATGTTAATTGGAAATGCAGGAATATTTTTTGGAAAAATTAATATGAAACAATAAAAATAAATTCTTTTAGGCAGAAAAAATTATCATCAGCTGAAAAATTATTTTTTTTGTTTTTTTTTTTAAATGCTTCCGTGGAAAAAATTGTGAACAGGTATTCAAAATTTATTTTTTTTCTATATTATAATTAATTTTTTTCTCCATCAGCTAAGAACTGTGGTTAGAAGTTTCGTTAGCTAATGAAAACCTTTTTTTTTCTGTAAGAATGTCTGCTTGCGATAGAAAAAAAATTCCGTCTACTGTGAATTTTCACCTGAAGCATTTCGTTTGGGAAAAAATCTGCCTAGCTGTTCACTGTGGTCCAAACTTTTTGTGTAGAAAAAATGTTTTTATTGCATGTTTTTCAAAAGAAAAATTGCCTCAGCTAACAATCTTTATTTAACGAAAACATCAGCTAATATCTGTGGTCATCTTAGTTGAAAACTGGTCCCCCTCTTATCTAGGAGAAAAATGCTTTCTTGATATCTTTTTGTTATTCTATCCCGCCCTATTATCTGAATTCCATCCGTTATACCACTCGTAGTTCACAGCAATTTAATAACTATTTGTAACCGATAAACTTTACATTTTCATTCACAAA